TGCTGGTGGCAGAGGGCAGGAGGCAGGAGATGCTGGGAGCTCTCCCTCTGGGCAGCTCCTACACAGCTTTATTTTGGGTTGCCTACTCCTCAAACACATCCCCTGGCACCGATACCAGTGGATAGGTGATGTGGAGCTGACGAGTGGCCACCCAACCTCAACTCTCTGCGTTGGGCTCTTGCCATTCAGTTTTACTGCTGGCAACACTCGAGCTTTTCTTGGGCAACTGCTTCGATACACCCTTGAATTCCCATCTCTCTTGTTAAATCAAGTCAAGGCCTTACCAGCTAAACTGGCATGGCAGAGGTCAGTGGGAAAAGCGGGTCTTGCCCATGCTGAGGCATCTTCTGGCAATCTGAGCTCTTTATCCTCAAGCCAGTGGTCTTTCCCTGGAGATGATTTCAGTAAAACCCTGTGAAAAGCTGCCAGAGAGCATCAGCACCAGGAGAGCATCAGCATCAGCCATTGCGCTGAGAGCAGGTGGGGCCAACAACATTTTGGGGCAGAGCCTGGTTTCTGTGTTGCCGCTTCTAAACTCAGGGCTAGATTTTAGTGTAAGAGACTGTGTGGATCCTGCAGGGCTCTGCCGCACCCCAGCTCCTGCCCGAAGGGTGTCCGGGGGATTTGAGCCTGGCCCAAATACGCTTGAGATGGCATTACCCTGGAATTTGTGGCAGAGGGAGAAATATTAAGCAAATATTTTGCAGTTATCTTTGCCTCCAGGAGTTAGTCTAGATCTCCCCTTTGCATCTTTTTCTTTTGAAATCTCCTAGTTGCGAAGTTGGCTGTTTTTAAACTGGGTGGTGCTTCGGTGGCCTCGAGAGCAGCAGTTTCCATGGTAACTCCAAAGTACCCATTTTTGCAGAGTCACGGTTTTAGCGGGTCGCAGGCACAGCCACCACTGCTGCCGGAGGAGCAGGATGATCCCCAGCCAGTCCCATCCCAACTCCAGCCGGTGCGACTCAAGGTGTGAGCAGGAGCCCTGTATGGCCGAGTTTGGTGTTACCAGCCCTCACCTTCCTTGATCTCCTGGTTGCAAAAAAGGCTGGGCAGGGTCACCCAGGAGGCCCTTCTGTGCCATGGGACTTCTGCCTCCAGCCTCGTCTTTGCTATTTGTACTGGCACAAGCCCGGTGTTGGACTTCTCTCCGACTTCTTTCACCTTTTCCTTTCTTTTTTTCTCTTCTGGGTGTTTTCCCATCATTATCAGAATGGGGCTTTTCTTTCTTGATGGGCATTTCGAACTGGCTCAGGCTCGGTGGGAAGGATGCTGTGAAAAGGTGCTCTCTGTAATCCCACCCTGCAAAGCAGCATCCCCTCCGCTGCCCAGGGGCTTTGCTCTGGGGCATGTCCGCCTGGCTGCTGAAGGCTGGATGACTTGGGGGGGGCTCTGGAAAAGCAGCCGGCCAGTGGTCAAATCACAGCTTTTGGGGCTCCTCCAGAGCCAGGAGCAAGGAAGAGGGGAATAAACTGGAATTCCCTTGAGTATCTGTGCACTGGAGGGAGGGAGGATTAGTCCCATTAGGGCAGAGCACTTGGGGTAATCCCGCTTTTGAATTAGGGATTTCACTGTCATTAATCTGATGTGAAAATAAGTAGGGCAGGAGCTTAATGCCTTTGAGGGAGCTGCAGGCACGGGAGGAGAAGGTGGGCTGGAGGGGCTGGGCAGGGACGGGACCTCTCAGCTCAGACCCCTCCAGCCACATCCCCACATCCCCTCGGGAAGGATTCGGGGATGAGGGAGGACAGGAGCATCCTCGGGAAATGTCTGAGCCCTGAGCAGGGGCTTCCTCCTCCATCCTCCAACCCGTTCTCTGACCAAAGCAAAACTGTTCCCTGCAGTGTGTTTTCTTCCACCTTTTCAGCCTTTTCTTCAAAGGCAACACAAGTTTTCTTTGGTCTCTTTTCTTTCTACATGCAGCAGCGTTGCCATCTTCCATCTCGCAGCTGTGCCTGACCCTTGCTGACTGTGCTGACAACCTCTAAACATCTGTGACCACAAAGCTGTGGGAAAGCCTTTCTTTTTCTCTTGGAAAATCAAAACAACTTTTCTGGCATCCTGAAAGACACCGAATTTGGCTTTGGTGTTAGATGGACAGGGGACAGTGGTGGCTCTGTCTGTTCTTTAAGGAATTGAGGCACTCATTTCAACTCCAGTGACAATTCTCCTCATGCAAGTGATTATTTAACCATAAAACCCACAATTACATCATTTAGAAGAAAAAAAGAAAGAAATTTTTTAGAGATCTGATGAGCGTGGCGCCTGAACAAAGGTCCGGGATAGCTCAGCAGAACGGGGGTTTTACCCCACAAACATCTGCAGCCTTAGGCTTCAGTTGCTCCACTGAAATCAAAAATCAGGGGCAGATGCCAGATCCAAGCAGGTTTTCTGCTCAGAAAATTTTCTTTTTGAAATGTTTGTCATTTTGTATCATGATGAGATTGATCTGAGCAGCAAACAGGCACTGACCCAGAAGCCAGAAGACCCCGGGGTGTGGAAGAGCCCGGCATCCATCAGGGTTTCCCGTACCCCTGAGGACTGCCTTCAACCTCTGCCTTGCTGGGGACAAACTCTTCCATGTTTTATGCAAAAAAGTCTTGTCTTAATTGAATGTTGCCATCAAAACTGGTCCATGCCGATGATTTGCTTTTGACAAATCGATGTTTTCTAATGGAAAACAAAATCTAATTCATGATCGGTCCTGCTAGAAGCAAGGGCTCAGGCAGTGGAGAGCAGGATGGAGAGCAGTAAGGCAACCAGCAACCCTTAGTGGATGGTGGATTCAAAAGCCTCGTTGTCTTGTGGTGGGGAAAAGCTGAGGTTGTGCCCTCCCCATTGCTGGAGCAGCAGGGGATGGAGCCAGCAGGAGCCCAGGACCAGCATCCCAGGGCAGGATGGAGGAGCAAGGTTGGAGCAACCAGGTACAGGACCAGCGCGTTCCCCTCCTCAGGGGAAAGCAGGAGACCTGATTCATCAGCATAGTTACACCTTTTTTAGCAGTTCAAAATCCACATGCTTTTATTTTTTGGCTTTAAAGGAAAAAAAAAAAAATCTGCAAGTATAAGAAGTGAAATGAATGCAACTGGAGGCACCCTGGGAACAGTGCAGGAGCCCTGTTTACAGGGAGTTCCACATGAGTCCCATCAAGCACCGCAAATATTGTAAGTAGGATGTGGCCACGCGCTGGGCTGCGTTTGGGTCTGATGCGGGCTGTTTTCTCTGTGGAGCAGGATTACTGCTCTGCTTCTAATTAGGTGAAAGGGAAGGGGATCCAAACAGCCCCTAAAGATGTCAAAAATCAGAAAGAAGTCATTGAAGGGAGGGAGAAATTAAAATAAACCAATGTTGGTATTTCAGCGATGCACAAGTCCTCTGGGGCTGCGGCCAGGAGCTTCGCCTGCTCCGGCTCCTTCTGCATTGCTGACGAGGTGACCTGGGGTTTTATTTAATTTGTTTATTTGATTTCATGCATTTCCATTTTAGACAAGGGAGTTTCCAAGTCTGACATGTTTGCTTCCCAGCAGGGGCTCCCAGGTGTTCCTAGCTCTGAATTTTCAAATTAAAGCCCTCTCTAAAACAAGAAGTGGGTTGGGTTCGGGTTTTAGGGAAGCTGCAGGACCTGTCACCACTGGTTTGTCTTTTTTTCTTTTAATCTGGATAAATGAGAGTATGTGTGCAAAAGTAGTTTGAGACTGCAGCCCTGCACTTGCCTAATCTTATTCTGTGATAAATCTTATGCTGAACTGATAAAATGCCAGATAAAATACTTCTAAAAGCAGCAGGGATAAATATAGTAGGGTGGGTTTTTTTTTTGTTCAGGTTTCCAAAGCAAGAGAATTGGTGTTATCAGAGGTAAGAGAATGTCTGTATGCTTCTTTCTCCATGATCCCTTGCTCACATACGCCTGTGTGTTTGAAAGCAGAAAGGTTTATTCGTACACAGATGTTTCCAATTATTTTCCTAAGAACAGTTCTCTCATTCATGCTTAATTCGTGAAACTCCTGTTTAGTTCCCCCAAATCTTTTTTTATTATTTTTGGTAGTCATACCAGCAGCAGTAATCATAAGCTCTGGGCCTGTTTTGCACTGATGCAAATCACCACTTACGACTTTGGAACTATTAACATTAGTGCAGTTGAGTACTGGTGGGTCCTGTAAGAGAATATGGTCTTTTTTTTTTTTTTTTTTGGTGGCTGGAGACATCCAACCTTGAGCCCTTTCCTTTCAAAGCCTGTGCTGTGCACCGTGGGTCCTGGTGTACATCCCATATCCCAACATGCCACCATCCTTGGCCCCAGCAACTTGTGCAACCAGCTTGGCTTTGTTTTGCGTTCCTCCTCGGTCATGATGTAGAGCCGAAAATGGACTTTATAGCTCCTTGAGACTTAGAAACCAGGTAGGAATGAGATAATCTGCATTCAGCACCCATTCCCGTGACTTGAGATAGAAACAAGGAGAGCAACCTCACTGGTTGGAGCAAGGAACCGGGCACCAGCCGAGTTTCTGGTGGTGATGGTGCCTGAATTAATTGATCTTTCTTTTTCTTGGTTTCTTTAGCTTGGCAGTGAAAAAGTTAACGCTAGTGATTCACTGCTAAAACTCTGAGATCTGGAGATGAAAGTTGTGGTGGGAGGAGGACAGAGGCAGCTATGCTCTCAGGTGCCCCTGGGCATACATGAAGAACAGAAGAGGTTGGGGTGGGGGGAACTTGAGATGGAAAGCGTAGCCCTGCGCCTCGATGCACTTCTCTGGCTTTGCTGCTGTGTAGGAAGTGAAGGGCATCCTTTGTCCCTTCATCTCAACAGGAGTACCCTTTCCAAGGCCCTCTCCTCACTTACCAAAAACTTCAAACCTTAGCAACTCTGGGATCTTTGGTGATATTTTCTTCTTCACTTATGCAAGGAGTGAAGGCTTTTTGATGTGTAAATAGCACGGTGCCTCAGCTTCCCCTCTCCCGATGGCCACTGAAGCGTGTGCTCTCCTTAACACCTTCCTCTCACCTGGTTCGAGCACGTCAGCATGCTGGTCATCCTCCTGAACTGCGTCACCCTGGGCATGTTCCAGCCCTGCGAGGACGTGGAGTGCCAGTCGGAGCGGTGCACCATCCTGGAGGTAAGGATCCCATGCTGCCCCGCTTGCCTGGGATGTGTGGGGTGCAGGGGGGTGGCCGTCCTGGGAGCTGGGACCCCCATCTCGTCCCTCCTCCCTAGGATCTAGCCATGGAAGCTCTTCCCATAGGGGTGGTTTTTCCAATAAGCCACACTTCGGCATGCAAAGCCTATCCTCTGAGGAGACCTGCTACCATGGCCCTAGGTGAGACCCAAAGGCTGGCTGATCTGCACTTACCCCAGCAAGATCCTTTCTCTACACATTTAATAAGGATAGAGGCGCTCAAAACTGGGCATCTGGCTCCCACCGGAGGTGTTGAACACTTTTTAATTACAGGTTGGCCAATGCTGTGGGGAACCTTTTGCTCACAATCAGTCGGTTCCACCCCAGCCAGCTCACTGCCAGCATCTCTTGGATTGCTGCAGTCTGGTCTGTGCGATACGGCGCTGGGGACTTTGCCATTTCATTCCCTTCTTCGTGAACAAAAAAGCACGGGACGAGCCCCTGCCTGCTCTCCTGCGCAGCAGAGCCCACCAGCTGAGGTGCAGCATTGCCACGTGCCAGGAGAACTGACCTTTGGGAAACGCATCCCCGTACAAAGCTCACAGACCCTTGTTGGCCATCCCAAGCGTAGTGGGGCATTACGCTTGTCACCTCATCCCTCGCTGCGTCCTGGCAATCCCCTCGCTGCCATATGCCCGCAGGATTCATTTTGGAAGCACATCCTGGCAGCATCTGGTGTGTGGGCTGCACCTTGGCGCTGGGCTTCCTGCAGCAACTCAGTTCCCAGGCTTGGAACCAGCTTCCCTTGTTTCTAATGCATTACATCAACCTAGGCAGGGACTACCGACATGCGGTAGCGTAACGGGCTTGGTTCGTTCGAATCCCGCACAGATCTGCTGCTTTACTTCCCTTTGAGCGTTTCAGCCATACGGGAAGGCCAGTGGGATCCTTCCAACCAACCTCTTTCAAAGATTGGTCCAGAACTGCCTGCAAATGCCAGGAATAGCAGAGTTTATCATCAAACCCTCTTTCAACTTTAAAAGAGGATCTGTTAAATGCAGAGCCAAATAAACCAGATGAATTGAGAAGCCACGAGAGGTTTGTTATGGAATGACATCAATTTTGGAGAGCCTGTTGCCACCAGAGGCATCCAGCATAGGGATCATCTCAGAGGGTCAGGTTCAGGTTGATGTGAAGCAGAGCACCCATCGGTAACTAGTCCCTCATCTCCTTCACCAGAAAATGTCACCCTGCAGGCAGCTATGGGCTAAGCTATCCCCAGAGAGCCCATCAGAAAGTGTCCGATCTCTGCTGAAAGGTTACACTCCACGTGTCTGCTGTTTTTCTGCATGTATTCACCCACGTGGGACTTTGTTTGGAGGATGCCCATCCCTGCCGAAATGTCCAGGCACACAAAGGGAATCCTGTCTGGACGAGGACGTGGCATTATTGAATGCTCCTTCCTTTTTTTCAGAATTTAATCAGGTGCAAACACACAGTTTGTACTGTCTGTCCTCCTCAGAATAGACACTCATATGTCTGCGAGTAGCCAAGGCGCTGAATTTGGTTTCTGATACCGGCTTAATGATTACAACGTATATTTGCAAAACCCAAAGTGTTATCCTGAAGGGTTTGTAGGTAGAAAAGGGCTGCAAGTAAAGCCATCATTATCCCTTATGCTGTCACAGCTTGCAGGAGGGAATGGAAGCCAGAACATGAGGTAGAAAAGCCTGAACTTCTTTATGGAGGCATTCAGGTGCCAGTTAATAAATGAACTGAAATAATGGAGCAAAACTTCAGTGTAGTTTATCAAGGGAAAGGTTGTTTGATAGAGCCAACAGCCAGAGAAGCTGGTGCTCACACGCAGCCAGGCAGAGGTACATGGATGTGCAGTGGGAACTTGGCTTCCATCTGGGTGCTCTGTTAATTTTACCATTAATCCATTCAGGCCTCAATATGGAAGTGCCAGAGCCACAATAGCAAACAGTATGGTCATTAAGAGAGTGGTTTGGGCAGCAGCAGTCATGTCTGTAGGTCGAGAAGTTCCTATGCTTTACCAAGTCTGTCATTCAAAACAACCAAGCCTCTGCACGTGATATAAAAACAATCTGTACGTCCTGATGTTCAAGTTTACAGGCAACATGTTGAAGAATATTTACAACAGGGTCCATTTCATGGTATCTTCAAGTCCATCCACATTTCACGCATGCACCTGTAGTCTCCAGTAAGGCTGGAGAAATCACCGCTGTCCAAGTCCCCACTACCCTACAGAAGTCATTCCTTAAGTAAAGGCTGAGGCATGTTCTATAGGGCAGCAATGGATTAATTTGCACACCTTTATTTTATCTAATAATCTAAAACCCAAAATTTTGACCTTCATCAAGAGACTCCTGCGCTGGGCACACAGGCTTGCCAACAGGATGCCCTGAGCCTCTGCACCACGAGGAACCGCTCCAGTCATTCCTCATGTGCAGCAGAACTGCCCTTAGACTTACTGCTTCAACCTCTGCTTGATGTGCACCTTCACCCCCAGCTGGGTCTGGGTCTGTGGGTAGGAACCTGGTCCCTTTGGGAGTCCAGGAAGGCATCAGAGGTGAAGCACATCCCCTCTGTGTTAGATGGGACAAATTCTTTCTAGGAGGTATGAGCTGCCCAGTCTGGAAACGCACCTTCTGCTGCAAGTTGCTGAGCCCTCACGGACCCAACCAGAAGTTGCTGTTGAGTGCGTAGGCTTTAAACGCCAGGAAAATTACCCAGCCTGTACAACAGTGATGTCCTTGTATCTTTGTCGGTAGATTAACAGAAGCTGTTAATGCTTCGCAGGCAGTGGACTGACCCAGGAGCTACGCTCAGGGGTTGCCATCACCCATCAGGTATTGCAGGTTTTATTTCTGGGTTCAGTAGGTGGCACTTCGGTACCAGTGCTTTGCCTCACAGCATCTGCCAGGGTATGCAGGGTGCCTCTGCGGTGGGAGCACGCGTGTCTCTGCTTTCCCTTTCCCTGATAAGAGAGCACGGCAGAACTGACTGTAATAATCTTTTACTGGTCTCCAGGCATTTGACGACTTCATTTTCGCTTTCTTTGCGGTGGAGATGGTCATCAAGATGGTGGCTCTGGGGATCTTCGGGCAGAAGTGTTACCTTGGAGATACGTGGAATCGCCTGGACTTCTTCATCGTGATGGCGGGGTCAGTAACAAAACCTCATAAATTTGCTCTTTGCGGTGAAAGCAAGAAAACCCCAGAGAGCCAAATCTGTAGCTTGTCCTGACTGGTTTTCATAACGTCTTGTGAAAGCTGCCAGGCTCAAGCCAAGGCAAAGTCTCCTAAGTCTCATTTGGTTTCACCACGGACAACCACGCCGGATTATGGAGCGGGGTATGAATGTCAGGGTAAAAGCCACTGGGTTTTCAGTAGCAATCCTTTCACCAGTGTCATCTCTGTCAAATCAAGCGCACGCGGATCTAGTCCTTGCGATGGCCAGTATGTCCCAGTGCTCGCAGTTTAGACTGCTGTCTCCAGAACGGGTGGAAAAGCACACAGCAGCTCAGCCCCGCTCCTGCTATGTGACACCATTAGAGTGAGGCCGAGGGGCAGAAATTGGCCAAACAAGGAGAATCTAGCCCCAAAATCTGATTCAGAAGGTTGAAATCCCGGTGGAAGAAGCTGGCCAGAAGCTGACCCAAATTACAAGTGCATACAAATGCCTCCTGTAAACTTTGCTCGGCTGGCGTTTTAATACTGTCTCTTACAGCTGCTTTTTTGTGCAGGATGTGTTAATAAACAGAGATAAGGAAGATCTGGGTGCTTATGTCACCAGTTCCCTCACACCCATAGAGCAAAACTGAGTGGACTAAAAGCTTGGCAAGTCTAAAACTTTTTTCTATAAAGGAATGGATTTTAGAAACCCCAGGCTCTCTTACCTGTTTAGTATACCCTAGAAAGGGATAGACTGCATTAATTACAGAGCTCTGCCTTATTTCTGAATTCCTGGGTTTATAATGACCAGCCTGGGGTTAATTAGAACATTCTTGCAATATGTTGGAGCATTTTTACCCTTACATTGGTGATGTACAATCTTCACGGCACTAATGGAGTTTTGTTTTGCTCCACGTTATTTGTCTGGAATACAATTAGGAGTGGCCTTACTGGTTTGAATAAAACATGAGCTCTCCTGAGCAGAGCTTTCTTTGAGCCCGTGTGCGGTTACAGCCCAGGAAAGAACAGCAGGGACAACAAAAGCAGCAGTTTATTATTTTTTCTTTCCAAAGCCGCTGCAGAAGTAATAGGGGAAGAGCAAGGCTGTGGTTGCAGGAGGAACTTGGGATCAGAGATCTCCCATCCATACCCACCGTGCCAACAGTGTTTCCCCACGCTGAACCTGCAGGATGAGCTCTCCTGATGGGCGAGCAGAGGTTCCCCACATCATCAAACAGATCATCCCAGCGAAGCGGGAGAATAAAATAGCACATGCAGGCAGAAAGGCTGAGCCCTCTGCTCATGCCTCAGAGCCAGGTTTGGCACCAGAATCTTTGTTCGCATAGCACCCGGGACGAGGGGGAAGGTGGCCGGTGAGTCAATTTGGTAGTTTTCCAGGGCATTTCCCCACCCTCCGTGGCTGGCATATGTTTGAGAAGAATTAAAACTGCAGAAGCACCAGGAGACCCCAACGGGAAGCCCTGCTGCCAGTCTGGCCTTACTGAGGCTGAAGATGAGAAGAGGAACGGCCCCCTCTCTGGCTGATCCGGATGACTTTGGGTGTATTTGAGCCATACCTGTGACATTATTTCCCATCTCCCAGAAGAGAGGCTGGTCTGGGAGCTGCGCTGACGGACAACGCTGGTGGAGGGCAAGGAAAAGCTGTGCGCTGGGCTGGGGTTCTTCACCTCTCCCATCACCACCGTTGGATCCAGTGTCTGCTCCTAAAACTGGAGGTGGTTTTACCAGGGAGCGTGCTACTGGAATAACAAGAGTTGCTTTTTCCAGCAAGCGGATGGATGTGATGAAGTTAATACGAGGCGTTTTCTGATAAGAAGGGAAACAAGTGATAGGCAGTGCTGCCTGCTTTGTTTGTCCCATTCGGTCTCTTCAAGTAAGCTGATTTGGCTTACTAGCAAGTGTACCAAAGAAAGTGGAGGGTAAGCAGGGAAACTACAAAATAAACATATCTTCTGCCTCTAGCAACAGATTGTGTCTGAAGTTTGTTCCAGCACTGAAAGCCCTTTCATGTTTTGCTCGCCTGAGAATTGTACCCTGAAAAATTTCAGACCGAATGGAGCTTACAACCTTTCAGTCTGTCCAGCAGCCAAGTTGAAAGCATTTCCCAAGCATCCAACATGTTGTCCACAAGAGCTGAAACCAGAGAGGTATCTTGTGCATCCAGTCCCTGGAGACGTTGCAGGCTCATATGATACACTTTGGACATCTTTAACTTGACAGCTGAAGGACTGGAAACTGTTCATGGTAGAAGACATCGCAAAGGCTTGTGCCACCTTTTTTTCAGTAGCCAGAGGCTGTAGCGAGTCGCCTACCAAGTGCCAGTCCACCCAGAGCTCTGCTCCCTGCATACCTAAAACTTCCAGCTCCAGCAAGTTTCTGTCAGGCATTTCCAGGGTACTCTTGGTTTACAAGGGTGATATGAGAACAAGACCTCAAGCTTGGCCTTGACAAAGAAACCTTTGACTTTTTCATGAAGATTTCAAATGTTTTCACTGTTTGTAGAACGTCCGATCTGGAATCCCATCAAGTGTTTCAGGTTGGCTTCGGTGGGCTATGTAGATCCCCCTGAGACTTACTTTCAAATCCTAAATGGAGTATCACAGAAGTCCAAGGTATTAGGGTCAGAAAGTCTGTTTCCTAGGCCAAATCCTGGATTAGTCATCTTTTATCAGCCCCATTGAAACTCCAAGGGCCAAGTAAAAGTGAGGTCCCAGAAGTTGGCCCTTTAACAGGCTAATAGTTGCATGTGCTCTCTGGAGTACAAAACCAGCTCCCACTGGAGCATTTCATACTCCTTTTACATGCTATTAGCAGTTAAAAAACTGTATCAGTTACACTAAAATCCACTTACGCAGCCACCCGATAAATTGTGAGTGTGCTGTATTGAGACCAGGCCAGTGAACAGATTCAGGCTTCGGCACTGTTCACTTCAGGGACTTTAAACAATGCTTTGTCTATTCCTCCAAGGTCTGTTTAGAGCAGACACCTGGTGCTGGCTCCAGGCCCCCCGACGCAGGTGTGAAGGGGCATTTCCGATGGCTTTCCCACTGTGTGGTCCTTCGTGTGGCTCCGGGCTGCTTCCCACTGCTCTGCTCCGGCTGCTTAATGAACACGCGTTAGATTTAAAACCTGTTTTGGTGCCGTGCTGAGTTTTAAAGCTATTCATCATGTTTGGCTCAGTTCCTACATACAAGTTTTAAGGTGGTTTTTGATTTATAAAGACTCACTAACTACTTCTGGGAAAAAAAAAAAAAATATCTCTGGAAGGTTATCGCTAAAAACAGCTCAAAATCACCAGGGCGTCTGCACAGCAAATTAAGGCTAATGGGACAAAGTCACCTCAGTGCAATGCCCGTGATATCGCGAGGTTACACCGAACAGCTTCAGGACAAAGACAAAAGAGAAGCAAACATCAGAACATCTAGATATTCCCCATCAAACTTTGTAGAGCAGGGCAAGGCGTCAAATACGAAGTGCAAGTGCACAGGCATGCGGACTGAGATGGATGCGCCTGAGCAAGGCTGGCCCAAAACTAAACTTTCCTCTGCTGTTGCCTGAAATCCATGCAGGTGTTGCTTCAGTCCGCTCGGTTGTTCCTTCTTGATGGCACGTAATGATTTTGGTCCATCCTGGCTGCAGGATGCTTCACTTGAAAATCTCTCTTTCCACTGAAGCTTCTGAACTGCCTGGTTGCAGCAATTCAGCTCATATTGGCCTTCCTCCTTCCATATTTGTTTGTTTATTTTAAGACACCAAAACAAAAGCTCTTTCTCCATGGGATCCAACAGCTTGCTCGCAGGGTTGCTTTTGATGCCTTTATGTTATTTGAACAGGCGTGGTGAGAGACTTGTGACATATTTACAAGTGCTTCCCTGTAGTCAAACTCATAAATTGTAATTACAGCCATGCTAACTAGCCATAACCCCATTAAAAAAACAACACTACACACATTTGCCACTCATTGTTATAAAAGAGCAAGAAAACTGACTTGACTTAATGTCCTTCCCAGCCCGAGAGAGAAATGTTTATGTGAAATGGAGACGGAGCATGAAAAAGTAAATGTTCCCTATTCTTAATAATAAAATGGAAACCAAACTACTTTAACATCATTTGTTGGTTATTCACATTTTTGTCATAGGGGGAGAGATAAGCTGGCGTGAAAATACGCTGGGGTGTTAGTAGGGGATATAATATCAGAAACATCTTATTGACTTAGAGCTGCGTGGGGTTGCGCGGTAGTCTCCCCGGGAAGGCTGCAGATGTGCCGCCGGCCGGAGCTCCGTACGCTGACGGCAAGGGAGACCAGCCCGGCTGCAGGCGCTGAGCAGATCCTTGGGGGCTCCCTCTCTACCCCGATGTCCATGGCCCCGACTTTGCAGCTCCTTGTCGTGCCAAGCCCTGCTTTCCGACGTGTTACCTGTGCCTGCAGCCCATTAGCCTGGGAGCACGTCTACCTGCCAGCCCTTGCACCATCGTTGCCCGTGTGGGTATTTTCAGTCTCTTAGAGCCTGAAATATCCCTTAGATCCCCCTCTGACAGCATGATGCACATTATGAGCTGCAAACACAGAGTGGGTGCTTTTGCAAGCCTGGGCTATGGCTCCCCGAGTGCGCAGGCAGCGACAGCCCCAACCCTGGGCGGTCTCAGCACCCTCATCCCCAGAGACCGAGCATCCCACGTCCTGACGCCTTTCCTCTTTCCCCCACAGCATGATGGAGTATTCTCTGGATGGACACAACGTGAGTTTGTCTGCGATCCGCACTGTCCGGGTACTTCGGCCGCTACGAGCCATTAACAGGGTCCCAAGTAAGTAACGCCTGCGTCCACACCGCAGCCGCGCTGCCGGGCTGGCCGGCTCCAGCTCCGGCTCTGCCTGGGTCCCCCCTGGGAAAAGCAGGGGGTTAAAGCCACACCAGCTGGCGTTCTGCCTGCTAAGCCTTGCAGTAGTAGTCTACTCTGCTGCTGCTGAGAGCAAGTTCATTTATTTTAATTTTTAATGGCAATTAGAGATCATTTATTATGATTATCAGTGTTATTAAAGGGCAAGGGAGTAGATTTTATACCTGGGGGGGCCAAATTTTCATGGCTGTTTTCCAGCATTTTTGTGAACTCTCTTGAGGCAGGTAACTCTCTGCTCCTAGTGCAAATTAAATAGCAAAGTTCCTATAAAGAAAGGGGAAAGGTCAGTTCCAGGAAGAATCTTCTTGCCCTGGATGGGTTCATTTTCCCTTCTCAGCTATTTAAGGTCTTTCCATTTCTTTGTGTTCAGGATTAGAAGCGCAGCAGCCTCCATTGCTGGTAAAATACCACAAAGGGTTTGCTGTCATGTAGAACAAAATTGGGTTCATCCATGATAGAAAGTTCAAGTGGCCCCTAAATCCATTTTCAAGTGGCTTCAGCTGCTTGTCTTCTAAATCCAATTTGAAAGACGAACCAACAAGTTGAAATAATTTCCTGCCAGAATCAGCCGTCTGCTGAACAATCCTTTGCGAGGTACTAATTTCATAGAGGCTTCATCATTTTTTTAACCAAAATCCACTCAATTCAAAATGCAACAGCATTGTATGGAAATCATAGAGGTTCCTTGCAAAAAAAAAAAAAAGGACATTTCCTGTTTTTTTTAAAAGCACGTTGGAATGACACAGCCCCACCGGTCCTCACTGAACATCCTGCCCATCGTGTCGGCGCATCTAGGGACAGCAAAACAAACTCCCCCAGAAGGGTTTCGGTTCCAGTACCTCAGTTGAACATGCAAGGGAACAGATGGATGTTTACGCACAGGAGTCTCTCTGAGCTCAAATTCGTCAAGATTTTTCTTTAAAAAAGAAAAAAAAAAATCTGTAAATTTGACAGTGACATCATTAGATGTTAAAAACAAGACAAAAAGAAACGAGAGGCTAAAAGGGACCATGAAACCCTTCGGAGCTTTGTTTTCCTAATGAAGTTTTGTTACCAGGGTTTCAGAGCAGCCCGAAAGCACAACACAAAGTTTTCCCCCAGGATTTTGAGCGCGGTGGCTCCGTGGCCTCGCTGGGACGGGAAGGAGCGGAGGGACACTGGCACGTGCTCGGCTCAGAGCCCTGCCAAGGTTTCAGGCTGGGGTGAGGATCAGGCTCGCTCTGAAGTTATTTAAATCCACGAATCCCTTTGTAGCTCTCCCTTGAAATAGTGGGGGTCTCAAGCTGGGGTTCACCTGGGTTGAGAGCCGAAGCTGGGGGAATTTAAGGATTTACATGCCTATTAAACCGAGGCCCAGGGATCCGAATGCCTCCAAGTCTAGGTGAAATTTTGGTCTGGGTCCAGCTTGTGTTTGTCTTCCTTACGAGTCTGATATCGGAGCTTTGAAGTAAGCCTTTTAGGCTGTCTTCTGCTACACTTGCCACTTTGATTTTTTTATTTACAGGCGATAGAAAATATTCAATTTTTTATTACTAGGATGTGAGATTAAATCCCAAGAGCTCAATCCGTGTTTGGAGTGGAGTTGCCCAACTTGACGAGCAGCTAGGCTGGTCTTACAACACTACCAGTGTCTTGAACAAGTGCCAGGGCAGGATTAGTATTCTTAGAAGTATCTCAGTTACTGGAGGGCAGATAAGCACAGACTTTGCTTGTTTACGAGACGCTAACTCCATCCACTTTTAACATCGCTACTTTTACTGTTGAAGACTGATATAATCCAGGGTCTGCAGAAAATGGGTAGTGACAACCCTCTATTTTGTTGTATTTTTGCAGTTTCCGGTAATAACAGAGTTACATTTCTAGTCTTTCATCCATGAGGATGCTACAGCTTAGCTGGGGGATTACCTCGCGCATCCACCGCATCCCAGGCAGCAGCACGGCAGCAGGTCCCGCTCAGCCCCGTCCATGCCGTCCCCAGCGCTGGGACAGCAACGCTCCTCCGGCCACCGCACAGGGTTTTCGGCTCAGTGGCAGAGGCAAAAGGACGTTGAGCAAACACGAATTACGGCTGGGTCAGAAGAGACAAGCCTGGTGTTCAGTCACAGCACAGGGGAAGCAGGGACCCGAGAGAAATAGCCTGGCGATTTATCCCTCTGATGCCTGGGCACTTTCCTGGGTTCCAGCCAGTGCTATTAGCTCTTCGCTTCCAGGCACAATAAATTCACCCGCAAGATTATTTCATTTTTATTTTATTTGTTAAGAAAAGAAAAGAAAAGAAAAGAGAACCCTGGCCAATAAAAACATCATCTCTATTAGAAATTATTCCTTGAAAATGACTGGAAAAATGTAATTCCTGCAATTTATATGTTTGGCAGGGGCTGTAGTTAGGGGTTTTTTTTAGTAGTGGTCACTGTTTCTTTCAAATCCATTTCACTGCTTTATTTTTATTTCTCTACTATGTGGTTTAAACCAGGCATCACATGGAATGGGAACGAAAAGAAATCCTGATCCTTATTTCAGCCTAACCGATGCTCGTGCTCTTTTCCCATGGCACACTTGACATTCTGCTGCGAGCCCAGAGCACCCTTAGCGGATAGCGAACAGATGGATTCAATCTTGAGAATGGTGCCACTAAACAACCCAAAATACCAAAAGAAGCTGAGCGGAAAAAAGTTGTCTGGCACAGGGAGATAAATTTTAACCATTTTTGGGAAAACGAAGGCGAGGATATTAGTGAGAGTAGGGGGTGGGAAAAGAAGAAAAGCCCAGCATCCTCTTTCCAGTGGGAATTAGTGGGTCTTTTCTGCTTTTCCAAAGATAGATTTGCAAGGAAAGTCTGAAGGGCAATGCCATGAGGTGTGCTCCTGGGGGGCTTACAATGACAGCACATGTTGGGAATAAGCTTAACAAAATCAAAGGCCCATTTGCCTCCAGCTCTGGGTTTTCCCTCCCGTGTTTGGAGCAGAGGCCGATGTGTACCCGCGGCTGGCGCCGGCGTTGCGGTTACAGGGGATGGCAGGGATGCTGGCCAGCATCCCGCACCACCCGTGGCGCTTGCTGACACGGCCTGGCTGCCAATGCCGTGTCCCTTCCCCGCAGGGTGGCATTGGCGCCAGGGCGGCATGGGGACAGGGTTTGGAGGGCAGCCGGCGGGGTTGGCACAGGGCTGGGCACTGGGATCGTGGCTCCTCCAGAGATGCATCCTCTGCCAGCGCCAGCAGCGGGGAACCACGCCGGAGCCAAGATGCAGCTGGGCATGGAGACCTTGAAAGGCTTTTGCCCTGGGATGCAGAGGTTATTACTCACACCTAATTGTTTATTAGCACAGACTTCTTGGCCGGGGTGGTTTATCCACTCGTACTGCGCTGACAAGGTAACGTCGACTTTGGCTCTGCTTGGCTGGGTTGCATTTCCGCTGGCAGAGCAACATGAGGAGGTGGGTAAAGCGGCGTGACGGGGCTCCAGATCCTGCCAGCATTGCCTGCCGTGGCCTGGGAGGTGCCGGGCTGGATGGGCACTGCTCTACTGGAAACCCTGCTCCTCCCAGCACCCATCCCTGGGGTCTACAGATGCCAGGCTGCAGCCCAGCATCATCACTGAATTAGCAGGAGAGGCATCAGGCATGACTTGGGAGCTGGCTGAGGGAAGCAGCCAGTGTGGAAATTGGTGGGGGAAGAGAGACTGCGTCAGTGTAAATGCCACTCTGTTCAAACGGGATGAGTAATGGAGAGCAGCATCCTGCTAGGGGAAATGGAGGGAGAAAAGGCTCCACACAGGAAGGCAGGAAAAGGTGTTTGCAGAGCAGAATTTTAGTGGGATAAAACGCCTCCAAAGGCAGGAGGGTCGCCTTACGCAGCAGCTGCATTGATTTCCACCATGCCATAAACTTGAGCCCTGCTCTCTGCTGAACGCCAGGCTCCTGAGACTCAGTTTCTGGCTTTATTCTTTTCTGTAATTTAGCATTTGTCTTTGTCTCTTCCTCTTTTCATTAGTTCTCCTCTCATCAACTATCAGCTGTTGAAATGATGGCTGGTTGGTGTCTCAGAGGTTCATTTAACCTCTATTGAACTGCTGAGCTGCAAGTCATTATTCCCTTTTTGCTCCTGTTTTATCCTTGAGTTTAAAGGTGCCCTGACGTGTGAGACGGGGCAGCCCCTCGATGCCAGCCCAGTCCCTGCCTCCTTGCCCAGTCTCCTCTGGGCAGCGATGCTGGCAACATGCTGGACGGGGATGCAAGGGTTCGCTGAGGATCTGCAAGGTTGACTCATTCCTCAAGCTTCTTATTTAGGATGCAAGAGCTTGCACAGAAATCAGCATTTCCCTGGCAGCAAAGGTGCTGGGGGAGCCCCTGCTCTGCCCACGGGTTCGCAGGGAGCCTTGCAGAGAGGTGCGGGACCAGCTGGGAAGGTCTGCTGGCAGGCTCTGCAGGAGGAGGGGAAGGGAGCAGAACTGAGAGCTTTCCTTAGAGGAAGAAACATTTGCATCCTGCTTTCCCCCTTCAAAAAAGTCAAAATTTCCCCTGCCTCCCCTGCTTGGCAGCACTGTGGCCAGCAAGGAGAGGAGTCCTCCGTGGAGGAGGAGTTGTCCACGGAGGAAGCCCACAGAAGAGCCACAGTGATCATCTTACGCGAGGCTCTGTATTGTTTAGGGGAACAATTTGTGTGATTAATGAGAGAGGTTCGATATGTTTATAAATGTATATTTTGACAATTTCTTGGGAGGCTGATGGTTTGTGGGGGCGTTTCTCCAGGAAAGGCTGTCTTGCAGCTTTGCCCATGTTTTTGTGTTGTCGAGTGCTGTGTTACTGAAAACATCAGAAAATCCCACCCTTAAGTCCACCCTTAGGAGACACGCTGTTTGTTCCCAGTTGCTGCTAAGCCTTTTGCACTCTTTACCTTCCTTTTCAGCCTTACAGTTTAGGGGAAAACATAAACATCCCAGTCCCTCTGCCCAGGATGCACTGGCTGCACATCCAAGCTGGGAATGGTGTGGCATTCGCCCTCTCCCCATCAAAGGGCTCCTCTAACCTGTTTTCTCCTTCTCCCCACAGGTATGCGAATACTTGTCACCCTGCTGTTAGATACTCTGCCTATGTTAGGCAACGTCCTCCTCTTGTGCTTCTTTGTCTTCTTCATCTTTGGGATTGTCGGTGTGCAGCTCTGGGCAGGCCTGCTGAGAAACAGGTGTTTCCTAGACAGGAATTTTGCAATGTAAGTACAGCAAAAAAATCTCTGCTTTTTCTTCCTTTCTCCACCTTTTCTTCCTTTCTCACTGTCCCCTGCTAGAGAAACCCCAGTCGTCGGCAGCACCCAGCCAGGGTGCAGCCCGGGCTGGATCCAGCAGCACTGTGGATGAGAGCACGACGTGGCCGTGCCGCACAGCCGCAATGGCAGCTCTTAACTGGGCTGTCATCTTGATTCACAAGGTTGCCGGCTTCAGGACTCTGAGTCTGGCTAAGTACTTTTTGTGTGAAAAAAACCCACTTGTCAGCAAGTTACTGGGGGTTTGGAGTGGCTTTTTTGTGTCTTCTCTCGGCACCTGAAGGACAAGGATGTTAGTGGTTTGGATTATCTCTGTCTGAGGAAGCTGAGATCCCTGATTCTGGGAATTTAAGGATTTAGAACAAACAAAAGCATTACAGCTTTCCTAAAATTGCCAGTTCCCAAAACCGTACAGGTCTGGGAGGTCACCTAGCACACCACACCACCTGCAGGGGGTTGATGAGGTGGTCTGCATGCTGGTAGGGACAACACCATGGAGATGCTGCTGAAACACACAAATAAATCTTTGTCAGTGTATTAAGGTAAGAAGCTTGATGTGAAAGGCATTAAAGACGTTAGTACAGTGCTCTCAGCCTGGCACGGGCATCAGGGATGGGCAGCACATTTGATCACCTGCTCTTTTTGATGCAAACTTTAGTTTTGGTTGTTCTAAGCAAGGCAGTTGCATGGACCAGCATCCCTGCCAGGTGCTGAGGGTGCTAATAGGCCTTAATTGCCCTGATGAGTCTCACCTGGCACCCCCACCCTGCCCAGGGCCCAGGAGCTCTATTTAAGCTCAGCCTGTGGCTCTTAGTCCTGCTTTGAGCTGTGCTATTGATGTGCCTGTCTGCAGCTCTGTCTTTGTTCCTGGTTTCTTTGCCTTCTGCCTGAGTTCCCTGGGTGGGTCCTGGATCTGGTTCGTCACTTGCCATTTCTGGGGCTTTGAAGGGACCCTGCTGCCAGCTCTGGGCTCTGCCTGCTGTGTTCAGCATCTGTCTGTGCAGGTGGTGCTGGCACTGGGATGACTCTCAGCTCCTGGCGTGGGGCAGCCCGGGGACTACTGCTCCCCAGCAGTCCCTCCGCATGATACTGAGCTTGGGCTGTTGGGCACTTGCCCCTTCAGAGGTGCAATGTGAGGGCACACCTTAAAACCCATCAACAAAACAAAAGAGGAAAACCAAGTGCAGCCTGCAAGCTTCCACAGAAAAGGGAGGTCTGCCTGGGAAAATCCTTCCGAAGGGCTCCTGACAGAGACTGCTGAAGATGTCAGTGGCTCAGAGGTGAGGAAATGCCTTAGACCAGGTAATTAGGGCAACTCTAGCTCGGTAAGAGAAGACAGAGCCTGTAATTATATCTGTTTGTGATTGTCTGCTGTCTACAACTTGTATTGTGCCTGGAAGACAAGCAGAGATTATCCTTCAGCTCTGCCCCAGGTCCTCTTCCTACCTCTCACTGATTAGTCCTGTGGCTTTCAGCTCTCTGAGCCTTTCTCTGTACTGCAGACCGTCTCTGATGGCACTTACTCATCCCATCAGAGATGCTGACAGGCAGAAAATCGATAAAGCTGCCATGTGCATATGCTTCTGCTCCTGCATCTTTGTGCTCCAACCTGGCAAGCTCTCTCCTGTGCCCATGGCAGGTATTTGCCGGTCACCAAGACCCTCCGTCCCTCAGAGTAACCCCTGAGCTGTCATTTAAAAGCCCAGAGAGTGGTGTTAAAGCTGTGCTCCGTTGCATGGGGCAGGCAGTGTGTGCGGGCAATGCTTTGAGCACGAGGAGTGCAAAGCCGTAATTAGCTTCAGCGAGTCCTTCTCATCTCTTTGACCAGCTTTCTAAAATGCTGTGTGATTTCCTGCAAAGTGGAGCTTTTAAAATTAATCACAGGGGAAACATTTGCTAAGTACAGATATTAAGCAGGCTGTTATGTAATGGCCATTAGCAACATCAAAGGCATCGCAGGATTTTCTTATCAGGGTCTTGGTCCCGATCACGGAAGGCGAAGTCAGGCTCCCCGTGCTAAGCCTCGGGAGCTGTGTTTGAAGAGGCAAGAGGTTTGTAAGAGATCTCCTCCTTCCCACTTCGCCACAACTCTGCGCTGGTTCCTGGGTCCCCCTCCAGCAGCAGGTAATGATGAATTTGGGTGGCTGTGGGCTCTCCATTGATTGTGCCCAAATCCTATTGCTTGATGCCATGGGCTCAGGGATACTGTGAACAAAGTGACAGCATTCCACAGAAACGTGGAGAAATGAGGCTTCTGGCATGCCCGTGGGGTAGCTCCGTTGCAGGACAGAGCTACTCCAGCTCTGCTGGTGCCAGTATTGGTGTAACAAATGCGGGTTGCTCTGCTACCATCGCCCAAACTGAAGCTACTGTCTTGGTCTGTGTTTTGCTGGGTTAGCTTTAGACCTGAGAAACCTGGCTGCCATGAACTAGTTCCTCCATTTCCAGCTAGAAGCTCTCCCAGGTTGATTGGAGCTTGATGTGGAAGTTTTGGGGAATCCAGAGGGAACTATTCCCATCTCTTCTGTTGTTCCTGATTCATTCTTTCTCCTGAGTCAATAGTTCCAGGCATCGGGATATGGTTCACCCCTGCAGTGGTCTTTAACACCCTAACAGCAAGTTGTATATGGGGAAAAGGCAGAGAGGGGCAGTAACGGGGAAAGCACTTCAGGGTTACATCTTCCTGCTATTGTACAGGGGGACCAAAATATACAACACTGGGCCCAAACTAGCAAGTCCTGCTGACCAGCAGCAGGATGCTGTCTGCCTGCGAGACAGTGTGGAGATATAGGCAAAGTCAAGCCCAGGGTTGGATTGGAGTGGGTCCATCACTGTGTCCTCATGCTCCATCCCTGCACCGAGCTGCTGTGCTCGGCATCGGTGCTGGAGAGCCCTGACCATCCGTCCCCTTCCAGGGAGAGCTGCCAAAGAGAACAAAACCAACAACAAAACCTTCACCCAGGGGATGTAGGATTAAAGTTAAGCTGTGGTTTTGGTTAGAAGTGAACAGAATGGAGCTCTGCAGGAATGGGGGAGTGAGATTCTGGTTATTTAGTTTTGTCTGCCAAGTCCCACTAAATCCTAGTGGTGGTGTTCTCAGCTTAAAATGTATTTACCAGCCCTTCAGCAGGCTGTGAGGGGCTGGAGGATGGACAGGCGCACTGTGCACCCAGGTTAGGGCTGAGCAGGTGGTGGTCCTGGCTCAGATTTTCCTTACAGCCCCAGAAAGGGGAAGACCTGAGTTGATCATGGGGCTCACCTTGGTGGTGGTGTCAAACTCTCCCAGATGAAAACAAAACTGCTTCAAAGTGAGGGTGAGCATCTGAACACAATGCAGGGTGCCAGGCAAGGAAGGGTCATAGCCCCAAAGTTTTTCTGGAGTAAAGGACATGTAAGCGAGCTCAGACACCAGTGCTTGAATTACAGTTTCTTATCTGCTGCGTGCTTCTTTGCACGCTTGCTGCCAGCAGCTTTCTGGGCCATTCAGCTTTACAGCAGGCATCAGATGGAAGTGACTTTGATTTCGCTATCATTCTTCTTCCTGTGGAAACCTTTTCTTTTAAATCTCCATTGAAAGTTGGCTGCTTCAAGTAAAGCAACTATTTTTAAATATAGTACGTTCTGATAGAAATTTGGGGATGACTTTGAGGCGCACTGGAAAGATCTGCTTTCTGTCTCTTTGAAAATTGCACTGTTGCAATGCAATATCATGCTGGAAGGACGTTGTTTTATTAAGGACTCTCTTTTAGCAGTGACTTTGAAGGAATTACAGGCAGTTACTGGGCTGTTGCAGTAGCGAGTTGGCAATCGATGAACTGCAGTGGGTCACTGCTGCGCAGGGCATGTGAGAAACTGTCACCTCCCGGCCAGCCCTAGAGACCAGAGCGGTGCCTCGGAGGGCTCCGGCGCCTCAGACGCCTCTTCCAGCCCCGGGGAGCTCGCGGGTCGGGCTGTGCTTCCCCTGGCATTGCACGGCAGCAGGGAACAGCAGTGCCAGGATGGTCCCCACTGCTATGTGAGTAAGTGCAGGAGATCCCTGACAGTAGGAGCTTGAGGAGGCATTTCATAAAGGGCCTTTTTGGTCAGTCTGGTCAGACAGGAAGGCTCGGTATGCATGCATGGGAAGGGCAAGCGAAGCCAGCAGTTTATCTGTAAGATCGCCAGGCTATGCGTCTCCCACACGCAGCCCCTCTGGTTCCCTCCTGCCATCATGAGCTGTTATCGCTGTAAATAAAGGAACTGGGTCACCCCCAGCTTGTCTGGGTTGTTGCTGCTGGGGCTGCTCCCTCCTTGTGTGCTGGTGTGCACAGGAGCGTTTTCCCCCTCGTGGAGCCTTTTCAGGAACTCGGTGGGTTGGAAGCAGGAGAGGGGAGAGAGCTGTGAAGTGCTTTGTATTTATCTAATGCCACAGGACAGTTATAATGTGAGCACTTCAGTCTTGATTAACTCCGTACCTGCTCGGCATTGTACCGTCTTTGGCTCCTTGGCTTTTGTAGAGCTGCGAGAAGGCACATACAGCCAAGGCAGGCGGCTCTGAGTTTGGCTGAAAGGTACTTCTAAGTTCTGCTTAATTGCTCCTCCTGGTATCGTTCTGTGCTGCAACGTTGGGTTGTCAGCAGGATTTCCTCCAGAGAGCAGCCCCCTCTTGGAGGGAATGGATCTGGCTTGGTGCTGAGTTTCCTCCACCTTTTCCCTTTCCTCCTCTGCTCTGCAGAAAGCTGTAGCAGGATTGTGCTCAGCACACTCACGCTGTACTCCAGCGGTTGTGGATGATGTCCTGCAAGGGATGGTTGGGCTGGGAGGACTGAGCCTGGGGGAAGATGGAGCAGAGAATAGTTGTTCGGCCTCCTTTGGCATGGGAGAGAATGGACTTTCCTGCACATGAACATGCCCAGGGATAGAGAAAGGAAAATACATTGCAAAGCTGCTGCAAGCCCAGGGAAAGATGTTCACTGGGCAGCTGGCCGAGAAAGGGGTGTTAATCTTTTCTAATATGATAACAAGATCCGTTCTGGGGCTTAGTTTCTCATGTCTTTTCCTCGGATCCCAAGGGTCTTGTGATTAGTGGATTCATTACCATTAATACATTATTTAGGCTATACCTGTTGGCAAGTAACAAGGAAGTCAGATTGACCTTTCCTGCATGCGGAGGTAGATGGTCCTGGCAGAGCTAATTAATTTCTTTTGTGGATATTGGGGGTTCCCTCATTCTGCAACACTTTTGTGTCTCATTCTTGCTCTCCTTCCTTCTTTCCCCTTTTTGTTTTTTGTCAGAAAGGTCTTCAAGCAAGGAACTAAGAAAAAGACTTAAATTTGCAGTGCATGCTGACAGTTGGTGTGTCCCTGCCCCTCTGGGCTGGGTGGTGGCAGAGCATCAGGCAGGTGTGGGACCTCCCCAGCTGGATGGATGCTCGTGGTATCTCTGTGCCCAGGGCAGACATGGAAGAGGAAAGAGCTTGAAAAGGGCTGGGCAGAAAGTGATCCCAATGCGACTGATTTTTTGGCCCGTCGTAGGGAGGACTTCTAGTTTGTAACTGAGTTGGGGGGACAATTGCAAAAATGAGCAAGGCAGAGCAAGGGAGGATAAAATCAGTTAGGCAGCAGCAGAATGAAAGCAAGCTTCATCCACCCTTCGCAGTCAAGCTGTGCTTTGTTTTCCTGGTTTTATTTTGCTCCCAGAGCCACCAAAGTGTGTCGTTCTCTTGGCTCTCCAGAGAGTTTGTGCCCAGATCTTCTCTACGCAGCTTATTAGATCACAGCCCAGGGCGCTTGTGTCTGCAGGCAGTATTTCTCCTTCAGCCCGAGGCTTCCTAAGCAGTGACTCATGGGAAACATGCAGCCTCTCAAATCTGCATATGTGGCTCATCAAAGGCCTTTCCAGTTGCAATGTGTAGCGAATAGAGAAGAGTTGCATGGAGGGGGATTGGTCCTGTAGGTCCCCAGCTTAGTTGCCTTCCTTCCCTCCAACAAAACTGGGTGCCTGGGCTCCAGCAGAACTGGCTGACACGCTGCTCTCTGGCTACCTGTGTCCCTGGCCAGCTGGGGTGGGCATATCAAGAGACTGGAGATCAGAGGTCAGCTCTGGAGGCTGAAATAAAGGTGATTAATCTGGGACAATGAACATGTATCAGAGTCCCGCAGCTGGGAGGACAGACAGCTGTGGAGTCGCGTGTGGTTCTGAATGTTGTGTATGTCGTGCCGTGGTGGGAGAGACAGCTTGCAGGGGAGCTTGGGGGTGAGGTCGGAGTGGAGCATCCTGCTGATGCATCAGCCGTTCTGTCTGAGCACTTCTGTCATGGTCAATGTTCTTGGCACGGGCACATGTGTGTCTGCATCTAAACACAAAACTGCTCCCAGGAAAGGAGCTTGTGCAGCCATAGCTGCTAATTACACAATCATCCCTCCAGATGGTCCATCTCCCTCTGCAAGTCCAGCTTTGCTCTGGGCAGAATCCTAATTACACTGGCCCACAAGCTGCGATGTGCTGAGCCTTCCCGTCCTGCCAGCTGCCAAAAGGTGTTTGTGATCAGGAAACTCCTGCTGCTGGTGTTGTGGTGGGGTCTTCCTTCCAGGGTGGTGAAAGAAGGAAGTTTTTGCTGAGTTTCACAGCTCCACCTGGCTCTGAAGCAGGTTTTCCTGGAAGATCGATTTAGTTTGGAAAAGCATCTCACTGGAGTGGCACATCCAGGTCAAAGAGCCTTGGTCAGCATTGTTTTAAGGGAAACCAGAAAGAGCAAGGGATGTTCCCAAGACGGCACGGGGTTGTTGCAGGGCTGGGTGTTCACGGTGTAGTTTCAGCAGGTTGCTGTCTGAGACTCACCTCTATGGCTATCTCTGCTGCAAGCACCAGGTTTGGGCGTTGAGCTACCCAAACAGACAAAGCTTCAAGTTTACATGACTTCTCACATCGGGCATTTGAAAACTGCAGAGCTCTGCTGAGCCTGAGCTGGAGGTCCAGGTGCTTTGATGAGAAGGTATCAAATGAGACCTCTCCTGCCATCACCTTAGGGACTCATAGAATAGCTCTTTGCCTGTAATCCACAAAGTCCTGGTTTCAGGAGTGGTGAAGTCAGCCCTGATGAAGCCTCTCGTACCCCAGAGTCCTGCGGCCATGCTACTTTGCTGTATCAGGCAGTGCACAGCGTAGTCCAGGCTTGGTCTGGGTGTTAGACCCCTGTCACCACCACAGGGTGCAGAAAGCCCTGACCCCAATGTCCTGTTTGAAAGACTTTGGAGCTACTGAGCACCTGCTGCTGAGTTTCTTGGGAGGAGGCTAGTGGGACATGCACCCATGGCCTCTCAAACCTGGAGGTTTCAGAGGAAAATGTCCTTCCTGAGGCTGGGATGGCTCTGCCCTGGGGTGCATCATGTGTCACAGAGGTGCAGGGCCCTCCCAGAACCTCCCTGGGGGAGCAGGTGCAGGCAGGGATGTCCCAGGTGCAGTCCCCACCACATTTGAGGGTGCAGGAGCCCTTTGCATCTGACCTGAACCCCTCTCAGTGTAGCCACTAAGGTCAAAATGGAGCTGATGGGGCTCTGCCTGCCACATGTGTGTTAGAAGTTACTTCTTAGGCATCTCTTCTCGCCTTGTTTCTTCTCTCAAGTTCCCCAGCTGTCTTTGCCAAAGTCTGTAGCACTCCCAGACACATCCCTGCGCCTTGATGCGTTTTAATCCTTTGCAAGCCTCCGCAATACCCCGCTCTGTGTGACAAACTCTGCTGGTTGTAGTATCTGATCTAGCAAACATTGCTCAAGCATAGCACTCAGCCTTTTCTTCGGCTTGTTTTATATGGAAATTTCCTCCAAGTGAAACCAATTTGAGGGAGGGGAAGGAGAAGGCTTTTAGGTAGTCTTGGAGGAAAAACATTTTTCAAGTTCTTCTTGTCTCTTGAATCTAAGGCATAGAAACTGGGAAGAAAGATATTACAGTTCTGTCTAGAGGTGTGGGAATAGTGTGCGATGGGAGGGGAATAGCTGGTGAATACATCTGATTACCAGCGAACAATGCCCAGTTCCTCTGATGTGCTACTCTTGCCTATTCCTGAAGCTGGATGAACCCTCAACACCAATCTCAAGTAATTCATTGATGGAAGAGAACCAAATTCCCCAGGAAAGTTGTTCAGGGTTAATTTCCCCTCAGCTCTGCCCTGCAGCAATTGCTCTCTTAAACTGCAGTTGCTGAGTGACTCCTGCTTGACTCAAGGGTTTTAGGGAGCAATTTCAAGCAATTGTATGGAATAACACTAGTTTGGCACTCATTAGAGCCAAATTTATTCAATAGTTAGGTACATTCAGAAACAGATAAAAATACAGCTGTCCTTTCTTGAATTACCTGCTTATTTTCTACCCACATCTTGCTTGGTCATATAATTTGTGTGTTGCATTTTCCCTGATCTCCTGACTGATTCTGTAGCACCTTAGATCCTTGCAGCTCTGAACACAGCAGATAAAGTCAGCTCTAGGACTTTGCACCTTCTCCTTTTGAGCAGTGCTTCAGCAGTGTGCGTGTCGGTGGGTCTCACCCATGCTAATGAAACAGCATGAAAAGTCCCAGGCTGTGCTTGCTCGCTGATCTGCCCGAGAGCATGGCTTGGGAAAAGGCACATCCCTGCCATGCTGCAATGAGAGCGTTTGCTTATCTTAGCTGTAACAGAGCCATAAACTTTATCTGGGCCAATTAAATCAGATATGCAGTAAGCATACAGTTCCCATTAGTATGGGCTCTTTCTTTTCTTCAGTGAATACAGAAGGAATTTGAGATGGCCCGTGGCTGGGTCCCTCCTTGTTAAAGTTCAGCTCACTCATCACAGAGACGTGCTGAGGGGCAAATTTATTGGAAAGCTGCTTTGCCATCAGCTTTTCTGAAGCATGTTCTGAGCATCAGAAGAGCTATCTTAAAATCCTTAGATAGATAGAAACCAAAAAGTCCCTAGATTTTTGGGAAGCACCTGGCCTGCTGGGATTTTTCTCTCTACACCCTCTCATTTCAACTTTCAGCTGCCCTGTTCACTTGGGAAAACTCAGGGTGAGCTTTAACTGAAAGATCACTGGTGCCTTACAGGGTGCAAAAAGCTTTGTAGACAAAGGTGAGGGCTGATATCTCAACTGTGGCTTGCTGTCCCTAGTCTGAGGGGGCTGAAGGGCAAAAGGAGAAATAACACACCCAAACCAGGGACAAAACCCAGTAACTTCTGCTGCTGCTGAAACAAGGGATGCACTGGTTTTTCTCATCCTTCTCTTCCCCCTCCAGGACATACAACCTTACCTTCCTGCATCCGTACTACCGGACAGACGAAGCAGAGGAGAACCCGTTCATCTGCTCATCGCATCGTGAAAACGGCATGCAGAAGTGCTCCAACATCCCAAACAGGAAGGAGTACAAGGTGGAGTGCACCTTGAGCATGGACTCCTACACCCCAAGTTTATACAACCCTGACTTCA